ACCATTGTTTTCTTGTGAGTAGATGTCTGACTATTGCTTTCTTGTGAGTGGATGTCTGACCATTGTTTCTTTAAGGAAATGTCTGACCCTTGTTTTCTTGTGAGTAGATGTCTGACCATTGCTTTCTTGTGAGTGTATGCCTGACCATTGTTTTCTTATGAGTGGATGTCTGACCATTGTATTCTTGTGAGTGGATGTCTGACCATTGTATTCTTGTAAGTGCATGTTTGACCATTGTTTTTTTTGTGAGTGGAAGTCTGACCATTGCTTCTTGTGAGTGGATGTCTGACCATTGCATTCTTGTGAGTGCATGTCTGACCATTGTTTTCTTGTGAGTGCATGTCTTACAATTGGTTTCTCGCTAGTGTTTGTCTGAATATCTCTATTTTTTTGCGAGTGCGTGATTCATTCATATTTTTCTTATGCGAGTAGGTGACTGATTCCCATCGCAGTCCGGCACAGTGTATCTGCGAAGTACTGGCCAGAAAAAATTTGCCACACTCGCTCAAAGTTTGCGAATACCGCCACAAATCCGTTTCCTTCACCCTACAGTGTAGCGATACACGGATAGTACTTTAAAACTAATAAACCTATGCTTGTGCATGTCCCGCAATGTTTGTAGGCATTCCAGTATCTGCGTACATCCTTCGTGTATAGTAAATCACAGAACCATCCTCACTCATGTGCAGTATACACACCATTGTCGACGAGTGCACCTATCTTACCGCTGCTGTAGCTTTCACTCATGCTCAGTGTACGCATCATTGTTGACGAGTGCAACTCCCTTTTATACTCTCATGCTCAGTATACATACCATTGTTGATTAGTATATCCACCTTTACGCCGCTATATTTTTCAATCATGCTCAGTGTACATACCGTTGTTGATGAGTGCTTCTATCTCAAAACCGCTATTGCCCTCACTCGTGCGTAGTGTACATACCATTTTCGACAAGTGGATCGGTCTTAACGCCGCCGCTCGGAAAATCCCAAATCATTCGACAGTCTGTGTTAAGTATAGGCGTGAGGGTTACCTCAGCAGCAGGGTCAGTGTCAGTGTCATCCTGGATTGTATCCTTCCGAAATGTATGGCCGGCGCAAATATGTTTTAGTAGTTACGCCCATGGTTCTCTGCCAATAGCGGTCTCTAGGACATGCACTGTATTCCACATACGAGGCAGAGGCACTCTGTGGTGTGCCAGTCCTTCTACAAACATGCAACGGCCGAGCTTTGGTCACATAATATTTTCGGACGTTGGCAAAGTATGCTTTCCATAGTAAATAATTCTCTCTATACAATATACACGAGGCTACTCAGATTTCTATTCAGTACGAAACTAATATAAATACATATGTACAGATCCTATAAACATATTCTCTCAAATTATATTACCCACTAAGAAAAAGTCATACAATATATACGAGGCTACATGGATTAGTGTGCAGTACGATTGCAAAAAGACAGATCCTATAATCAATTCTCTCAAACTATTTATCCGACATTTCAATTTATTTTCTCTGTTGAAGCTTCAGAAATAAGGCTCTCACCGCACCTTCACAGTTCTCCGTTTGCTGTCGTACGTGCGTGCTAAAGGGTGCTACCAGAAATATCCAATAGGGGGTTAAAATCCTACTAATATGCCAGCACAAAGTTAATTCTATTCCAGTCGCATATCATTGATCTACATTCTTCTTTGTCAGGTCATCTACACACAACCGTTCAATGGGCCCACAAAGAAGGCACTGTATCACGAATATACCAGATTAGTAGCGCTACTACAGTATTTACGGGTTGGATGCATATATCAACTGGTTCGCATTCAGAAATAAACATCACACGAACAATTGTCTCTGCATTTCAGATCAGTCTTTATGACTCAGAGGTCGAGGATGTACATGGGTTGCCCATGATGCAGTAGTCTACTCCCTAAGTTTATACTGTTTTAGGATTTATGTGTTTTGCGCACATCCCATTCACTCACATGCATGTCCTGTGCGTTGTAGCGTTGCGCACATTTTTAGTACCGCACTTCACCGTGACTGTCTGTTGCGATACGTATGCAATGGTACTCGGCCGTCTCTGATGGGGAATCGCCTCTTCAAAGATAGACTGGCATTAGTAGTAGCCCAAAACCCTACACCCCGGCATTCTCGTACAAGAAGCACCACATCCAAGGAACGCTGTGCGACTATCACTGGAATGTGTACACCAAATGTCCTCGAAAGCCCTCATTCATTATCTCGGGAATAGGAGACGCAACGGAGTCACTACCAAATGTCCTCGAAAGCCCTAATTCAGTATCTCGGGGTGTAGGTACCAAATGTCCTCGAAGGCCCTAATTCACTATCTCGGGGTGTAGAAGACGCAATGGAGTCACTAGCATAAAATGCCAGAGCATTAGTTGTTTTGGCGTATACAGCCCTAATAATTCTCGCCCAAGCAGCTCTCACACCAACACACTGAATAGCGGTACCGAACATCGCCGCCAGCTGAAGATGATGTGTAGGGGTGACCCGCAACCAGCTGACGCCCAGTGCGTTTGAGCACGTGCATTGCCATCGTCACTTTCGCACTCAACAACGTGCACGGCGCATTGAGCAAAGGAGAGACGCGCAGAGTAGTCTTTGTACCCATGTGCACCTATGACATCATATGATACGTTAAGATGCACTTATGTGCACATGTGATATGATGAGCTACGATCCTAAGGCGTGTCTGATGGCGATGTGAGAGGAACATAAAGGTAGCAAGTGAATTGACCTGAAAACCTCTGCACTCCACCCTTCCCCTTTCAAGCACACGTGTGCGTGTGAGGTGATGTGTACTCTTTTACCTGCGGAGATGACCTACCGCGGACATAAGGCACGTGGCCGTCAAAGACAACAGCGTTCACTAGACCACGCCCACTGATGTGTGGTTTTTAGGGTTTCGGGGTTTCAAGGTTAGAAGATTTAAGACTCGGTCACTCTACCTTTAACTGTCTGCATTGTCCCTCACAACAGGAGGGATAACTCCTCATGGGGGGAAGAACCCTAAACCCTAATAAACCTCATGCGGTTGCATAAACCCTAAACCCTGATAACCTCATGGGGGGCAGCCTCTCATACCACACCATAGGACATCGCTGTACCCATGGCATGTGGGACAAAGGGTCTGAGGTGTTCAGAAGCCCATCTCATACCAAACAACTCCACACGCTACCCGCTAGCAAGAGTTGCCACGCCTTGCACACACCGCAAGCGTCTGCATACGGGCACGGAGGTGTATAACGCCATCGGGGTGACGTACGGCACGTGTCACACGAGTTGCCGTACGCCATTGTCCGACTGCCGTTTGATTCATCTGCTGTCATATTAGAGACATTTGCCCACAGAGATACCGCATGCCGGTGAAGTAGCAGTTGCAATGCTGGCAATTGGTGGCCTTTTCACGCACCGTTGCCATAGTGATACAGCGCATTGCTGTAGTGAAGTGAAGCTTAGCTGTTGCATGCTCGTCTCTCCAGGGTAGCTTTATTGTAGCGAGGAGTTGCTCTGCTGTCGTTTGATGGCCTTTTTAAGGGCCTTTGCCGTGCGCTCGTTCTCCTTCACTCGTCCGTTGAAGCGCAGATAAACAAACGCAATGGCCGAACTGGAGATGAACAGACACACCGACAGCACCAGCGCATTGGTAGTCAATACAATGAGATACTCCTCGTCAATCTCCTGTATCTACCATAGGCGTGGGTGTATTGTGGGGGAAGAACAACATATTTAATATTGTATCATGATGTCAGTGTTCAATGTCAATGTCATTGTCCATGTCACAGTCAATGGGAGTGTGATCTGTCCTTCTGTCCCACTGGGCGCGTGGACGAAAGGCACTTGAAGAGTCAGGTTATGTAATCGGTTAAAGGAGGTGATCTACGTACTTGTCAATGCACACAACTAGTAATACATCCAAGAAACGACCCGAGCGAACAGGCAGAGGAATGTATCGATATTGTTGTAGGTAAAAGGTGATAGGAAAAGAATGGTAGTCCTCACCGTCCTAGTGCATATGCAGCAGCACAGTTCAGCACATATAGCCACGGGAAAAGGTTATGGGACACACTTATGAATCTTTCGAAGAAGAAAGAAAGAAAAGGGAAAAAAGACAATATCTCGCAACTGCGTGAACTAGGCGCATAAATAGTTATTTGGTGTATAGTTGACATAAACCACAGTGTGCGTATAGGTACATTAGGTACAGGCTGTGTTGGTAGGACTTGAGGATACGATGCGCGAAAAGACCTGCCTGAAGAAAGTAAGACTCAACATATAGGAATGTGTGTACAGCTGAGGTAAGTGCATTGCGGTAACGTATCAGACACACCGCAAAGCACAGTAATGAGTGTACGCAAACCACTAAAACCAAACGCCACACAAACTACGGTGTACAGTTGACAAAACCACCAGGACTCTGAGGGGGTTTTGATTTTTGGCTTTTAGAGTTTTTTTGTAGGGTTTTGGGGGTATAGCTCAAACACTAGGGATATCAGGTACAGACATTGTGTATGGCAAGCGGAGACATGGACACAAGAGCAGACACAGCATACCTCCTGTGTATTGTCCTGTATTCTATTGAGAACGTCCAGGGCCTCTTCTCGTTTATCCAGCTCTGTATTGTGGTGTATCATAGGACAAGTAGCAATTGAGTGTAGAAGTATATAACACAGTACAACTAGCAGTTGAGAGTACATACCCACAATTAGCAGCTGAAGGCACACATATATAGCGGACTACATGTGGGAAAGGACGACACAATAACACATTACATGTAGCAGATGAGGACAGATACACAACTAAGAACTCTTAACAATAGGCGAGCGGCGTTAGATGGGCAGCAGCAGAATAAACGTCTGCATCAATACATGCACCCACCACACACCGAAAGCACAGCCGACGCTTGCGGAAGTGCAAGGTATATGTCTAGGGTTTTAGGGTTTTAGGGGTCAAGACGTGTAGGTGAGACTGGGCTGAATCCATTTTGGACTAGTATTAGGACTATAGGGTTTAGAGTTTAGGTATCTTTTAGGGGTTTAGGGTCGAAGGGGTTCTTTGGGGGTTGATATAAACAACAATTGCGTACCGATGAGAGTTTCGGCCAACAGAATCTGAACTCGCACATCGAAGGTCTTGCCCACGCGCACGGCTTCATTCAAAATGGTCAAGCAGTCCGAAATGTATCCTGATCTGTGTACGCAGGCCAAACAAAGTGGGTCAGACAAACAGGTGCACGTAAAGCCCTAAAACCTGCGTCAAAGGACACGTGAACAAACATGCTGCCCCAGCCCCCGCACACCACGCACACACAATCCATCTTATCAGGACTAACTTCAAGCATACACAAATAGAAATACAACACTCACACCCGTAGCACACACAGGTACAAATACAACACTCCCACGCACAAAGACGATCGGCATGCGTTGCAATCACAGCCAAATGCTCATGGCTCTGCACCGCAGCAGAATGTCACGGGCATGCATAGTACTATAGCATAGACCATATAACACAGCCGACAGACCTTAACCACACACAACGGCAATCATACCAAAATATCGATCCACTCACTCAGTAACAGATACTACCAGGTACATTTAATCTCTCTCTCTCTCCCACACACACACACACACACACACACACACACACATATATATATATATACATTCATATACATATACATATACATATACATATACATATACATATACATATACATATACATATACATTTACATATATACATCCTCAAGAGACTTACAAGACACACCCACCTGCGCATAATCCTGGCGAGTTGCAGCATGGCGTCCACATGTTCTGCATCGTAGTACAGACACTTACGCAGACACTCCACAGCCAAGAAGGTCTGTGCGTGGTAGCTGCACATCTTGCCTACGTCAAACAGAACATCAGGGCTGGTGCTGTCCTATATATAGAAATATGTAAATATATTTATATAAATATATAAACATATAAATATAGAAATATATTGTGAGTGAGGTGTGTTTAGCACAGTGAGTAACTGGTAAGTATTGTTGTACGTTTATCAGCAGAGACCTACTTCACATGCACTTGTTTGCTAATTGACCATTGGCAATTGAGTCTGTACTCTCTCTTATGGATCTCACGCAATTATTTAACGCGCGCAATATGCAACTGCACTAACAGAGCATATTATACAATAACATATGATATATAATACATAATATATAATATAATCAATGCATAAGGCATCGCAGATATATGGCATATGTGATCTGCTAACACATCCCTCATAAAACGTATAACGCCATCACAAGACATGCTGTGACAACACACACCACCGTATGCAACCCACTCATGTACCATGCATACACCTCACTGAATAAGTGCAGCACGTGGTATAAACATGCATGTGACACACACCTCACACACACTCCTTGCGTTATATTAGCACCAAACAACATGCATTATACTGCCCTGCATACACCTCAATAGCAAGCATATCACGTGATATATATACATATGCACTTAACACTCACCTCACACACACTCCTCTCGTCCTACTAGCACCATACCACATACACAGTGTTATGACACACACCTTAACAAAACCGTATCATGTG